ACACTGGTACAACCCATTAGGGAATGAACAAATTCCAACAACTGCCTGTATTTCATGTCTTAGTCACCACTGGCATTATTGGCTGGAATTCTTTAGACTCATCATGCAAAATAGGCACTAGACAAAGAAAACAGTGGAATCACAAAGGTATGGAACCTGCAAAAAGTCATTCGTCTGAGCTGCATCATTTAGTTCTGTGCAATTACACACTATCAAGCATTTTCAAGATCAGGCCCTGAATGTTTATCTTTCCAAAAGGTTTCATGTTTCTTGTTCATGCTAAAGATAGACCACTTTTAACTTGTCAATGAGATGGTCACTAAGACCTTCCCTATTGACTATTTGTTTTTGTAACCTATCAAAAAGTTAAAATCACCATGAACGGAAAAAGACCATTTTCCCCTCAAAATCAGGTACAACATGTGCGCACACACACAATCTCCTTTGAGCAAGCTTAAAAACAGACTCATCTTTTTCACTGTGAAACAGACTAATCAGAGCCAACTGCTGAAATGACAGTTTTAATGCAAACTCATGAGCATGCAATCCCTTTCTGTTATGAAGCAAGCAGTTTACAAACACTTTTGTGCAGCAGAATGTTACTGCTGACAACAATGCAACCCAGAAAATAAGCAAGCAACAATATCTATTACCCTAACCCAAGACAGACTGCTTAAAAAAAAAAAATACCTGTGACTAGGGAATGAATGGTCCACTCTAATGAATTCTCTGAACCTAAAAATATAAATCATTAACTTTTTTCCAAGAACATTTCATGCCTTTTCTATTCCAGTCAACTATTTCCCATCATCTGCATGTACAAAAAAGCTTCTAAACAAGCAACATGAACCTTAATTCTCTTCTCCTGCCTACATACCCACATGCTCAGGGTTGCAAAGAAAAGGTGGTAAGTTTGGAAACAAAAACTAAGCTCAAATGAAAAAGGGAACGGCACATCTTCTCCCCTTGCCTTTTAGCCGGGTATTAAGAGTTGCAGAGTTGTAAGTAGTTATTTCATAACTGATAACTTGCTAGGAAGACTTAAGAAAGCTTTCTGATAATACTAATAAGCTTAGAGCTATACACATCTTTTGATGAGAAATTCAGAAAGATACCTTCAGGTTAAAACAGCCGTGCAGGGCTAGCTTCTCCTAAGTGAGTCCTACTATTGGCAGCTGTTGCCAACGTCATCTTTATCAGATGGTTCTAGTGTCCTCTCTAGATAGGCCAAGCCTAATTTGCTCTGTCTACAACATACCATGAAAGGTCTGGAAGGTGTCATGTACCGTCACACCCCATAAATGTTATTCCTGTAACATCTGCTTCTGTGCCTTTGGGATGTGGGGAGGGAAGCAAATTTCCAACTTGCTGGAGAAAAAAAGACAAAGATGGATTCTAGACAAGAGTCAGATGACTACTTACCCCAGACCAGCTGAATTACCACTAGCTTAGTCCTAAAAATGTCAACCAGCATTCCTTGATCCCTTAAAAACAACCCAGTGTGGCCCATTATGAGGCAAGGAATACCACGGTCTTCTTAAGCTCCATACAGATTTCCAATGACATCAGTGTCAGAAGCAAGATTTGTGATGGGAGGTAAGACCAAAAGCTTGTCTCCCATCTCACCAAACTATACACACTAGTCCAAAAAGGGATTACCTTACCTCACCAGACTTGTTTTTTTCATAGCCCACCAATAGCACGACTAGTTAGCATTCTCTCTTTACTAATACTGTTATTACATCAGGGAAGTACCAGTTCAACACAGAGGAATACACAAGGAAAAGCCTTGAAGATGCTGGGTTGGTCAAGGCAAGTAGTCTGACTGATTTTTTTAATATGATCCAAAAATCAAAAAACTTTATGAAAATGCAAGCTTCCTAATGGAATCTGCCAATACAACGGCTATTTTGGAGACTAACCCATACAGTATTGGTCTGTACCTCCAACCAACCCAACTGACTTCTATGACAAGGTGATGGGTACTGTGAATATTGGGTAGGGGGAGGAGGAAGAGAAGGGAAAAGTGGTGGATGTGATATTCCTCAATTTCAGCAAGACTCTTGGCCTCACATTTTCATTAGTTAGTAAATGAAATAGAGTCTAAATGAAAATACTGTAAAATGGCTGAACCATCATGCTCAAAAAGCAATTACCAATGGATCAATGTCTAACTAGAAAGAGGTATCAAATGGGGTTTCCCAGGGATCTGTCCTGGGTCCAGTACAGTTTAGCATCATCATTAATGATTTTGAAGATGGGATTAAATGCACACTTAAAGACACCAAGCTGAGTGGAGTGCAGACACTCAGGAGGGTAGGAACAGAATTCAGAAAGACTTTGATGAACTGCAGAAATGATCCAACGTTATACTGAATATAATTCAATAACGACAAGTGCAAGCTCCTGCACTTGGGATGAAACAACTGGCAGGATGGGGAGTTCCAGCCCTGTAATCCTCTCATCAGTAGATGTTAGTCAGTAGCAGTCTGTTCCTTGGCCAACAAAACCTGCAGCCTACAAGTAAAAAAAACAAAAAACCACCCAAAACCCCTTAAGCACAAATAGATAGAATAAAAATCAGCAACTTAACTCCAGCTAATCCAACAAAACATGTCTCATACTTGAGCATTAGTGCAGGGAAATGCGCCAGAAAGGTGATTTGAGTAGACCATTTAAGAAAACAGATTGGGCGTAAGTTGTTATTTCATGATGTAGTATTGCACCTTGCCTGTGTGCAAGGTGCCAGAAGGACCTCCGAGTTCCCCAAGGCCAGAGGCAGCTCTGCAGCTATGCTAAAACAACAAGGACTGGAAGAAAAACCAAGACCCTTTTTGCCCTCGGATTTAAGGCACCATTTTTCTGATAGATTCACCCAACTCTCAAACAGGAAATCAGATTCCAAGAAATCAGAGATGAAAGAAAGCCTATAAATACATGCTGAGCCTGCCTGATCTCAAGAGGATCTTAAAAAAAAAAAAGAGAGAAGGCTTCCAGAGGAGGATTATTCTACAGGACAAAAGAGTTTATTGTTATGCTGAATTATTAGGTAAAGCCTATGTTCAATTTTCCTGGATTCCTGGTTGAGTTCTGCCGGCCAATCTGGTTTCATCAGTACTGACTGAGCCCACTGGCCTATGACAGGGAAGAAAAGGTGCCAAGGGAACAATGTTAACACAAACCCTGCAATTTATGAAATTAGCTCCGAGCTGCTTGCTAAGCTTACCTGCATTCTCCACATTCTGTTCGGCATTAGCATATGTGCGAAGAAACTCCGCAAAGGCCCCATCCTGCTTCAGCAGCTCCTGGTAAGAGCCCATTTCAGATATTTCACCATCAACCATCACTATAATTGTATCCATCTGGGGCAGATAATTGACCCCATGGGTTACTAATACCCGAGTCTACATGTAAAAAAGAAAAAAAATATTTTCAAGTATAAACATCTCTAAACAACAAATGAATAAATACTTGTTCTCGTTTGTATGAATCAGATTTCAATTGTGTGTGCATAATGAACACATATATAGTATTTTTTTTTTTAGACAAGTGTTCTCACCCTTTAATTGTTCATTGTATCCATTTGATGAACAATCTATGGCTCTGGAAGCATTAAAACATAAAATGGTTTCTGTGCAAAGTGTTATCTTTCATCAGAGGAGCTTAAAGAACTTTATAAATATCAAGTCCTCACAAGTCCACTGCAAGATAATGTTATCTGTTTGTAAAATGAAAGTACTTTAAGTCCAGAGTTTCCACATATGTGCAAATTGGACCAGGGCCAAGAAATAAATTGCAGTCAGAACCCAGAAGTGTTTCTAGTTCTTGGAGCCAAGCTCAGATCACAGGCAGCATCATTTCACAGACAAATGCCATCAGTACATACTTTGTTTTTCAGGATTCCCTTTGGTCCAATAACGTTTTCAAAAATGTGTTTGCCAACATGGGCATCAACAGCAGACAAAGGATCATCAAATAAATATACATCTGCATTACAGTAAACAGCCCGAGCAAGGCTGATTCTCTGCTTCTGTCCTCCAGATAGATTCACCCCCTGGAGTGGAGTGAAGAGAAAAATTCAGCACTAGAGTTTTCACAGTCAACTATCAACATGAAGTACATTTCATCTGTTACAGTTTGTGAAAAGAGAAAAACTGAGACTCTACAGGAGCCATTGCATGCAAATTACAAATTAAAAGTGGAACACTGAAATTCTTATTTTTAACTTCTGTGATATGAATCAGCCTGATTTTGTAGTTAAGCTATGCAAAGGAGTTATACCAAGTACAGAACTCCAGTGAAAACCCCCTCCTTTCCTATGGTCTGGCAGTCTGGTCCTTTTGGCTTGCAAAATTAGCAAGAGCTTATATACATGCTGTAAACTGGAACTACATGGTCTAGAATACACCAGAAATGTGAACCTCATGCTGCGTTTCCAGATGCCAGCACTGGTAGGGTGCAACTACTGCATACACCTCTGCTGAGCATCTCAAAGCCTGCAGAAGCCATTCCTTGACTGCTTTTAAGGTGTAGGTATGGTAGATGACTAACTCATTTCACAGCATCCTACAACGCGAGCTTCAACTCACAAAAGCTTGGGCTTATGTGGACACACACAAAGACATATTTGGTTACTTTAAGGTGCATATCTACCCTGCCTTCTACTTGACCTCAGACTAACACTGCTAACTACCATTTTCTTGCCATTGCCTTCACAGAGTTGTCATTGCCAGTCCTTTAAATGAGGGAGGACTGGATTTGGATGGGAACCCAAGTGGTAGACTGGTAGGGATTTTGGAGGCTTCTGCAGATTAGTGAAGCAGGTGCTAGCAGTTGTCTGCCCAACACAATGCTAAGTTGACTGCCTTCGCAAATCCACAACTTATCAGACCTGACAAACTGGTCAAAGCCTCAATCCGGATGAAAAAAACAGGTGTTGGTGCATCAACCAACTTGCAAGTGCAGCCAAGAATCAGTGCTCCAAAAATCAAACCCAGTTTAAATTGAACTGTGCAACAGGCACATCACAATGATAGCTGTTCCCTTTCCTGCTGCTCTACAAAGACAACTGGTTTTGCTCAAAGTTACCAAAGCTCATTTTGAGGTAGAAACCTTGCCTAGACAATTTTCTCCCCCCCCCAAAATCCTACATAATGCACTACAGTAAATGAGGTCAAAATGGAATTATGCAACCTTAACTACAGTAACTGTATCTCCTTGACTACAGTAGGGCACCTAAATACCTTTTCTCCTATTTCTGTTCTGTCTCCTGTAGGAAGGATCTCTATGTCAGGGAGAAGTGCACAAGCCTCAACCACACGTTTATAGTGGCTTTCCTTCATCTCCCTGCCAAAGATAATGTTGCCCTTCAGAGTTGCATTCTGTATCCAGGCTTGTTGAGGAACATAGGCTATTGAGCCCTGTAAGAAAAACAGAAATCAGCTATCAGCTACTTCAAAATTTAAATAAACACCATCTCATGCTGATACTCAAAGCACCATGCAATAAGTCCATACTCAGCACCTTTGTGACAGGCATTATGTCCATTGTACAGATTTGGGAAAGACAACCTGAGAATTTGTGCAAATTAACTGCTTTCCTGATCAAAGATGTTTCCCATAAATCACAACTAAAAAGGCTCGACTTTGGAGCCTTTTTGGGCTGATAAGATAAGAGTCAGGAATGTTACCAAGACATTCTGGGGGGAAAGATTTTAAAATATACACCTTATTGACGTGCCCATGCAAAACATACATGCTCTGTATGACTACCGAGTCCCAAACATTCCAGCTCTGTTGTTTTTTACATCGCGTATAATTTTATGATTTATGTTTTGCATACCACATTAATCTAATCTTGACTGCAAGAATACAGAAATGCATCTGTCACTGCTGAAAGGGCTCTATAAAATATTAAGGGGAAAACAGTTCTCATCACATTTCAAGGAAAAATAAGACTAGCAAAATGTTCAAATAAACAGTAAAAAGCAGTTTCTTGCACACTAGTAATTTGACTCTTGTTATAATTAGGATCTTTTTCAAAATACTGAATGAACAAGAGTTGGTAAATAATCATTACAGAAACCCTATTCATTTAGAAGGGAAGTGATTTTTCATTCACATATCATTAACAGAAAAGGCTGGATTGTTTCTATTAGTTAATATTAAGTTTATAACTAAGGGGTCGGGGGGAAATCAACTTAAATTGGAGAAAAGCTCCCAAATTAACTTCCTGACATAAAAGTCCAAGTCAATCTTAAAGCCTACCCACACTTTCAGGTATCTCTTCAAACATCCGTGCAGCAGTGAAAAGTCACTTTTTTTTTTGAAGTTGCTTTCTAAAATTATAACCTTTGCCCCAATTTTTTTTTTCCATTTGAGAGCTTGTTTCTTCTCTTTGTACTACTGAAGATGCTGCATTTCTTTAAGTACCAGCCACATACAGCTGAACCATTATCCAGATATGGCATACCTTGACAGCTACATAACCTTCTATTTTTTCCATCTCTCCTAGCAGTGCAGATAGCAAAGAAGATTTTCCACAGCCAACCTGACCAACAACAGCAACCAGGGAGCCATCGGGTATGGTGAAATCAATGCTGAAATAGATGGCACATAGTTCAGCAAGACTGTCACTAGTTATAATGGATATTTACATTAACAACTAAACTACAGCAAGTAACAATAATATTAATCTGGAAGTGTAAACTTTAATATGCAGAAAGTGCTTTGCTTCACTTGCATAGAGTTCCACCCATCAAAAATAGAGTTCTACCCAACAGCAGTCTCTACCTTTCCTCATGTCCTCAACAGCTTTCCCTCATTAACAGGTGCGTACATTTTACAGACTGCACCCTTGTCCCAGCGCACTTAAATCATTTAAGTTTAACAAAGGAGCATTGAGAGGGGGCAGGGAGAAGTAGATTCATAGATGTAGGGTTGGAAGGGTAGATCATCAAATCCAACCCCCTGCCCTGGGCAGGAGAGAATACTGGGCTCATATGACCTCAGCTTGGTAATTATCAAGCCTCCTCTTAAAGACCCCCCAAGGTAGAAGCCAGCACCACTTCCCTTGGAAGTTGGTTCCAGATCCTAGCTGCCCTGACTGTGAAGTAGTGCCTTCGGATCTCTAGTCTGAATCTACTCTCAAACAACTTATGACCGTTATTCCTTGTTACTCCAGGAGGTGCTCGGGGGAACAGGGTTTCTCCCATCCCCCGCTGGTCCCCCCTAGCAAGTTTATAGACAGCCATCGGTCCCCCCTCAGCCTTCTCTTGTGAAGGCTGAACAGGTTCGGGTCCCGTAGCCTCTCCTCGTAGGGCCTGCCCTGCTGTCCCCGGATCATGCAAGTGGCCCTCCTCTGGACCCTCTCCATGTTGGCCACATCTCTCCTAACGTGCGGCAACCAGAACTGGATGCAGTACTCCAACTGCAACCTGACCAATGTAACATAGAGGGGGAGGATCACCTTCTTGGACCTGCTCATGATGCATCTGTGGATGCATGACAAAGTGCGGTTGGCTTTCCTGACCGCATCCTCACGCTGGCAGCCCATGTTCATTTTGGAATAGATAATGACTCCAAGATCCCTTTCTGCCACTGTGTTTTCGAGAAGGGAGTTCCCCAGCCTATAGGTATGCTGCTGGTTCTTAGTGCAGTACCCTGCACTTGTCAGTATTGAATCCCATCCTATTCTCATTCACCCACCCCTGTAACCTGTTCAGGACCAGTTGTATCCTGTCCCTCCCTTCTAGCATGCCCACTTTGCCCCAAATCTTGGTGTTGTCAGCAGATCTGAACACCCCCTCATCCAAGTTGCTAATAAAGAAATTGAACAGTACAGGCCTGAGGACCGAGCCCTGGAGGACTCCACTTCCAACATCCCTCCAGGTCAAATATGACCCATCCACCACCACTCTCTGGGTATGGCCCCTCAGCTAATTTGCGATCCATGTGACTGTGTAGGCATCAATGCCACAGTTGCCTAGCTTTTTAATGAGAATGGAGTGGGAGACGGTGTCAAAGGCCTTCCTGAAGTCCAGAAAGACTACATCCACCATGACACCTGCATCCAATGATTTTGTGACCTGATTGTAGAAGGCAATCAGGTTGGTCTGACAGGACCTGCCCCTAATGAACCCATGCTGGCTGAGTAGAGACAAAGCCTTCCAGCAGTATCATGCAGTTGCTTGTTTAGTAATAGCACGTGCATTTGGAAGTTTGCAAAAGGTTCCCTTCCCACGCAAACCTAGTGCTGGGATTAAAAGGAAGTAACAGAATTGAGGTGGAGGCTGTAACTTAGATAATAAAACTTAAGCATAGTATTCAGGGTGGGAAAGGTGGATCCAGACAAGATGGGCCCCATGGAAGAAGTCATAAGAGAGAACACCCTATTAATCAAATCACACCTTCCATTGATTCCTCATTACCTTCAGCCCCACAACAACTGTGCCCTGCCCCATTGTTTGTGCTCTCTTCCTACGCTCTTGCCTACTCACTAGGCTTTGTACCCGCTTCTCTCCTGGCTTTGCTTTCGTCTTCCTCCCCCACTAAAGAGCTTTGTGGCTTTCCTTGCCAACCAATGTGTGTGAAAAGACGACACCACTGAAGGAATGCAAAGCTTCCTTCTCCCCATTTAACTCTTTGCTTCCCCAATGCCAAACCCTATGCTCTTTGCAAAGGCTTCCATTTCCACTGAGCATCCCATCTATGGAGTACAAAATGAATGTGAGCTACTACCCCATGACAGTTGTTCCACCCCCTGGTCACCATCTTGGGACCAAAAGAACCACCACTAACCCCTGATCTTTACTAACACAAGTCCCTCCCCTTGCCCCCTGGAAATACTCCTATGGAGTGGTGGAAGGCAACTTAGAACCAGAAAAAAAAAATCTTACACTGAAAGTCAAAGACCTACTATAACATATTTTAATTTTATTACAAAAAAATATTTTGGACAGTCACTCTGCTGGGGTCACTTGACCTCAGTTGTCTTCCTGCCTAGAGCAGGCAGGCTGGACCCGACGATCTGCAAGGCCTCTTCCAGCTCCTAACAATCAATGAATCTATGAATGCATCATGGTTTGTGTTTGCATAGTGCAGTGGTTCCCAACCTTTTTTTTGCTGCAACCCTAAGCTGGCCACCAACAGGACCTCCTGACACCACGCACAGGGCCTGCTGGGAGTAGGGTGTGATGGCAGCCTGGGGACAGGGGCAGGGGAGCCACCTTTGCGCCCTTTGTGCGTGGTGGCCTTGCCCCACCCACCCACCCACCCACC